GAGAGGGCTGAAAGCCCTATGAAGCGGTATATAAGTCGAACTGCTATTGCTATTGCTATTGCTTCAGGAGTGGGTGGCATACAAATCAATAAAACTATAACTATAACTACTAACTATAACCAGAGTTCAAAGGCCTCCATTCTTTGGCACTCAGCCTTCCTTGTGGTCCAACCTTCACAGCCATCCATTGCAACGGGGAAAACCATAAACCTTATGGGAAACAATAACAAAGAAGGCCGGAAGTTTTCGGTAAATATTCAAAAATAGGAATCCAACCCAGAAGCAGCAGATTTAAAATGATTTTTTTTTGGCACAATTACACGGATGCTAAGTTAATGCAAAAAAAAAGACCAACAATACAGAAGCTGCTTTTTTTAAAAAATTTAAACATTCAGTCGGAGACGTGACAGCATTTCACAAAATTCCTCTAAATGGAGGACGGGCGGAGAACGTATGCAAATGAGACATCTGCTAGGAAATCAGGCATGCAAATCAGAGTACTACAGTGTTACAGAGATATGCAAATCGATATGCAAATGCCACCAAGGTTCTCGCCGGAATAGAATGATAGCATTCTATATTATGCAAATGCTGGGCCGAATAAATAAATAAGTAAATGCGGTACGAAGGCCTTAAGAGGCCATTTAATGCTTGTTTTCCGCCTCGCCGGGCAAATGCGTTTGTCAAGGGTGTCTTCGCAAATGCGTTTTCATTCTTTCATTCCTGTGACCCATTTGTTCATGGGTGGCTTTATTTGAATTTTATTCCTTGATTATTATTTTTTAACCCCGGAAAAATGTTTATTTTTTGTTCACTGACATACTACTTTAAGTATACATGCACATAATTCTTCTTCGTTACATTTGTCATTCTTATACATTTATTATTTCATTTAATAGGTTATAATATGCAATTTTATTGTATATTATATTGCTTTATTTACCATCCCTTCCGTCTGTTGTAACACCACCTTATTTTCTCTTTTTCTCCCTCCCTTCTCTACTTCCTTCCTTCCTCCTCTCCTTCCCCTTCCTTCTTCCCTTACCTTTCTCCTA